TATTAAAGAGCTACAAATAATCCATATGATTTAGTCTTCCACCAGAGTGGAGATTCCCACTATACACTCTTTCTTGTCTAACAAGAATAGGGTGAAGGGCTGACCATTTTAATCTTACCAGTGATTTAACTGAGTCAAGACTGATGAACAGTTTACTAATACTCAGGCTACCTCTATTTTGTCTCAAGGCATGATTTTCCTATGCTTTGCTTGTGAGCATGATATTTGTCTCCTTAGCCATGAAAGACTATGGAGAATTCAGATGTTCTCTTCCAGTGTTCCCAGCTCAGCTCTCCAGTATCCTACTCCCTGAAGATTAAATCTGGGAAATATCAAGAGGGAGACTGGTTATATGCTTGAGGCAAGTCCTACATCTCTGGCTTATCTTTGTTTTCCAATCATGAAATAACAGCAGGACATTTCAATATTTCTTTTAGAAGCTTTGCACAAATCTCCAGCATTTCACACACACCTACAACTTATCAAATGTCATTAGTAAGACCAGTTTCCAAGGCTTTTATAGCTACATTCAGAATTTGCTTATACCTTTGCTAAATACAAATGGCTAGCAATCATCAGTTTCACCATGGATGGATTCTTGCCTTTCTGGAATTGTGGTTCATTTCTCTCTCATTTCTTCCAAAGTTTTCTAATGCCTTTAAAATTCAATTTTTGCAATTTTCCAGTTTTTTCTAGTTCCAGTGGATGGTTGACCATTCTCCACCTACTTCATACAATTTGGAAGCAGAAGTCTCAGTAAATATTAAAATGATTCTTGTTTATATTTGAAAGTCTGTATCATTTACAATTTCTGGTTCATTAATCATGTCTTTTTGTTTTATTGCTTAATGTGTGTTGGTCTTCTTACAAATTCTAAACTTTGAGGGAAGGAGTGTTGTTTTATACCTTGATAGACCTGTCATAATACTGAACATAGTGTAATTAAAAGTTGATTTGAAGTATCTGATGGTTGTAAAACTTAGTCTATGAAACATGAAAAAAATTCTTTGTACTCACAATACTTTCAGCTTTATCCTCATAAATCCTTATTTAATCCATATATCCATCTCTCTCTGACCCATTGAAAATTGTCTTTATAAACTCTGCTCAAGGACTAAAAGAGTAAGCGTACATGATACATATCTGTAGCTTTTGCACATCTCTGTACCAAAAAAGTAGCTCTTTGCATTGTTTATTATCTCTTAATTGTGAATTCTGAGAATTTAGGGCAATGAAGGTTTTATCCATCATGATAAACTCGCATGCTTCTTTCAATTAAGTAATGAAATTATCTAATGTGTAAAGTTTCCTCTTTACCTTGACTACTATGAAAGTAAGCTGTTTTTTGTTTAATGATCAGACTTGTCCTCCTCAGTGTACATACACCCCCACACACATATACACAAATATGTATATTGTATGTGTGCATGTATGTACACACACATCCATGTACATGTATGGGTGTTTGTCTAGTATGTGGTGTGTGATTCCTTTTTATTTCTTTATCTTTTGTCTCTTTGTTATGTGTTAATTACGTTTTTATTATGTCACATCAAATTTTGAAAATGGGTGAAAAGAACCTATGAATTGACATAAAGCCAATATGATGACCTAAGGTGTCAGTGACTCAACTTTGGCAAGAATCTAGCTTTTTATCGCCAGATGAAATAGGTTAGCATTATTCATTCAATCATTAAGACAAAGGAAAGACAAACCACAAAATCTCTTATGGTTCTTTTTCTTAGCTTTCTTACTCAATTTGCACTTTTATTTCTAAAAGCATCTAAATAAGTTTCCGTGGTATAAGCTCAGATTCTGTTTGTTTAAAATTTACAAGAAAAGTGTAAAACTTAAAAAGCTTTCTCAGTTTGCCAACATACTCATACATTAAGAATCTTGAAGTATCTGACCTTTTGAACGTTTTTACTATGACAAGAGACAAAGCTATATCTCCAGTGGAGGATTTAATAAGCAAGAGATTAAGACATAGGTGACATAATAAGCTATAATACCAGAACTCACAGATCTGTGGAATCAGTGGGTTAGGAGGTAACTGATAACTTTTTAAAAGGTACAATCTAAAATTTTCTCTTCAAAATCTGTAGATAGAGTTTATTTCCAAATTCCATACCGCCAGCAATTTCAATCTGTTTTCCAGATATTAAAAAAGATCTGCCCATAAAACACCAGATTGTTAATTCCACTTGTGTATGTTAACCCAGTAGAAGACAATGATGCTTGAAGGATCATTTCTAAATAAAAAGGACAATTTGTGTAACTATCTGGGGTCTACTAGTAATGACTGTAGTCCTAAAGTAACTTAAGCTCATGCAGTCACAATTTGTAAATTTGTATTCTAGTCAATTGTAGGTTTGAAATACAAGGCAAAATGAATGTTTGCTGAAGACCAGTGTTGAAGGTGGTTGAATAAAGTCAGACTTTGGTGTAAATAATTATCTAAATACATACTTTGGGTCCCCCTATTTTCTACCAGGACCACATATATTTAAAAAGCTATCACAACAGTAATTTTTATAAACAAAAGACTTTATTTCAAATATATTTTACAGTTTGTGTGTAATTAGGATTGCTTTCCAGATTGTGAAACTTTATAATAAATTGAACAAGCAATGTACAAAAGTGGTGTTTACTTAGGCCTACCGAATTCCTACAATTCTTCTTGTAGTTTTTTTTCTTTCTTTTTAAGTGGAATCAGTGGAGACATCAATGATAGTACAACCTTTATCCTCTTGGTTATATTTTGAATAGCAACAAAGTACCATTCCATTCCATATTTGTTTGCATGTTTAGAAATTAGAAATAAAGGGAGTAAAATCTCATGTATCTGGACCTAATCGAAAAATGATGATATATTGTGAGCAGAGCTGAACTAGTTCATTCTTTGTGGTAAAAATAGTTTGCTAAGCAAATTGGTAGAATAACTAAAATTGTAGGACAGATGTTTAGCCTCCTTAAGAAAACATAACTATTTTAGAGAACTTTTAGTATTACTATTGCATACACTTTACATACTAATTACAATACTTACTTATAAAACAGGTCTTTCAGCTAGCTATTAGAATGCTTTAGGAACTCAAGAAAATAGATTGGATTTTTATCATAAACATTCTTTAAATCAGACATTGAACTAATTCATGCTTACCTTCACCTCCATTGTTATAACTGAGGTTTCAATGATGATGTGAAGTTATAGAGATGACTTCAGAACTTTTAAATTGGGTAAGAATGACAGTATCCTGATTTTAAAAACACATATGTGAACTTCTTCAAACATCAGCAACTAAAATTGGCAAAATTGAGATAAAAAAAATTTTTTTTTCACTATTGCCAGTATTGTTGTAGTTGTTCAAGGCATTGACAATAGGAAAACTATTATTATATGCTAGTCCTAAATATTATGTAAGAAACTAAAAAAAACCCTAAAGTTCAAGAAAAGACTGTTTCTGCATAAACTTTATTTGGTAGAAGCAAGAGGGTGGTGGTCAGGGATTTGCACCTTGGTGAGCCAAGTTTTCCTAAATAGACAAGATTTTCCCTCTCCACATATACTTAGCATATCCTGATTACATTATTTCCTGAAGAAATTTAGGATGACCATGACCAGTGTAGCCAGAATGTTTACTTCTCAGCTCCTACAATGAATCTTTTCCTTTCAAAGAACCTCAGTTTGTTTTGCAAATATTAAGTGGGTTGCAGTTTTATGTGTTTCAGTTATATTTTTAGAGTTCTACTTGCCTGGAGTCTCTGAAGCCTCCTGCTTGGCCATGATAAACAACATGAGAAGCCGAGAAACAAGGATAGTGCTACTTCTGGACCAAATACTCTCAAAATAAATTTATGAAGAGAGTGACTGGGAGCTCTTTACAATCTCAAACCCTTGCCTACTCACTGACCCTCAGTGTCAAGGTTTTCACAGAGGCCTAAGATTAAAGAAAAAGTATGGCACATAAGAGGAACTACAGATTGTGACGTGTAAAAAAACAAGGTGGGCAGAAGGAAGAGAAAAAGATCCCCACCTCCTGGTTGTTCTGGAATATTGGAGCATGCAGAAGAATTATTTAGACCTGCCAAATAGCAAAAGCTTTGCTTCTATCCCCAGAAATTCTGATTCACTACATCTGGGGTTGGGCCCAGGAATTTGTGTTTTAAAATTCTGAAGCAGGTGGTCCATGGACCAGACTTTATAAAATACTTCTGTTGAGGGATACAGTGAGCAATGTATGAGAAGATGAATATACCCTTTTATATACTTCCCTTGTATTCATTTGAACCAGATGTTACCTGATCCAGTGTCTTGATAGTTGTTTAAAAAACTCAACCAACCAACTATTCAGCCAAACATAAACCCTTACAGGAAACAGTTACGCACAGAACTACCAAGATAGAAAACCATAATATGGTGGAGACAAGCAAAAATGGTCACTGGAAGGAAAGGAGACTTCTTGTTTTTAACAGTTGCTTAAAAAGTTGAAGGTAGAATCCAGAGGCTAATGGTAAACAATTCAGAAATATCCATTATTCAAAATTAGATATCAGCAAGGTGAAAATCATAGTTCTTAGTAATTTCATGATCTGAAATTTAAAAAATTTTCTATACAAACAAAGGATAAAGTACAATTCTAAAGCATAGAAACCCCACCTCCCTAACCCAATGATAGAATTCAGTCAGGGAAATCAACAACATTAAAGGTGCTTCAGGCTGTAGGGTTTTCAAGTGTATTGAGTCAATTACACACAAGAGGAATATCTTTTGACATTACAGTGAAGCTAGATCTGTCTGAGTGAGACGCATTATAACAAATCCTGACTGTCCTTCTGGGAATGTCCATATCTAAGAATTAAACCTTTAGTTCTCAGTTCAATAAGTGAGGTTATTTATATTGAAAGCAAAATTAAATAATTTTCCATACTTTAGTCCTTTTCATAACAAAACTAAAACCTTCATAACAAGAATTATGAAAAGAAACACAGTATAATAGGTAAAGAACACATTTGCTGTTTTTATTGGTGCCTTGCATGGCAGTAATACTGAAAAAGAAGAATGCAAAAAAAAAAAACCAAAACAAAAAACAAAATAAACAAAAAACAAAAACAAAAACAGGTTGGTGGCAACCCACATCTTTTTTTTTTAAGAGTACATAAACTCCTGTTTTATTTTTATTGTGGCATGAATGATAACATAAAACCAAAAACATGAAAATATACAACTTATATTACACTATGTGTTATGAACAAAATATAAATCTATAACTCTATGTTATATTTACATAATTATTTATTTTATTAAATTTCAAGTGAGATGGTAGGTTGCACATACTTTGTTTTAAGCTCCAGGCATTTGATTGTCTCTTTTCTACTTTTTCCCATTTTTACTTGTAAAATCCAAAATGTTAGAAGGACTAGAGCTTTAGAGCCAGTGGAGCTATATAAATACTGTTTTAGTGAACCAGTGACAGAAACACTGGGGAGGACAGGAATCAATCAGTAGAAAACTCAACATTATCATCTTCAACCTGGGGAACTGATAGTTATAGGAAACTTTAAAATTAAATACTGTAAAAACCTGGCTAAACAAACACCTATGCCCTACAAGACAAAGAGAAATCTGAACCACTTTAAGTGGGCTTCATAGTTTTCCTTGCAGATCCCATAATTTTTATTTTTACTATTAACTTGATAAACAAATATTTTATAAACCTGTTTGTAAATATACAGTTGTTTATTACAATTCAATAATTTACCCATTAGAATGAAAGTGTAATCATTTTTGATGTTTTAAATGTGATAGAAGGTTTCTTCTGGAAACAGTAACAGTTTCTGGATTAAGAAAATATCTGAAATTGGACAAAAAATGATTAATCTGCTTTCAATGAATTAAGGTAAAATTCTACTCTGGAAATCAAATCTATAAAATAGTTTTAGCAAAGTAAACTTGTTTATATTTGTTTCTTATAAGAGGATTTGGTTTCAACAATGATGATTATGTTCTTTGGGAGGGATTTTATACATATTTAACTCTTAACTTCAGATGTCAAATGAACTTTAAAAATTGACTTTCCTAATCTAGGTATAAGTGCACTGAAGAATAGGTTTGTATTTTTATCCAATTGTAGTAGCTAATCAAATTATTAGTAACTTATAAATTAACAACTTTAACTTATTTTCTCCAGTGATGTTCTCTTAGATTCATGTTAAAGCATGACTATTTTTAGAGAAACTGGTTACAGCAACGATAAAAAACAGAATTCTGGCAAGATTATTCCTCTGTATTCGGGTGAGAGAGAGAGAGAGTGTGTGTGTGTGTTTGTGTGTGTGTGTGTGTGTGTGAGAGAGAGAGAGAGAGAGAGAGAGAAAGAGAAAGAAAAAGTGAGAAGACTCAACATATAGGAAGAAAAGGAGAGAGGAGAGAGACTGTTTATGTTTTATTTTGATCTTTTGATCTTACTCTCATTTTCTCTACCTTATCTTTTTTGGTCATAACAGTGCACAGAAAAAGAATACAAGGTTTTAGGATCCTTTACCAAAATCATAAACCAAACACCAAAAGGGCAGTGTGTTAACATGGTAAGTTGCTACTCACAGCACCTTTTATCAAGTGACTTCAAAAGACCTTAAACATTAATAAAATTATTTTTGTTTTTGCTTTCTTTTGGAGAAAACTAGGGCAAAGACAATTTGACATCCAGTGAATTAAATGTCAGAACAACAGAATATAATGCAGGGCTATGAACTGGTTTTTTGTTTCAGTCCATGCCGTTCAGTCTTGGACGGAAACCTAACTAAATAAAATCAACTTTTGAATTTCAGCAGTTACAGGTCACCATCAACAATTTTGTTTTTCCCTTCAAATAGAACAAAGTTTTTAAAAAATGAAAAAAAAAAACAAAAACAAAAAACAACCCCCAAACAGAAGTGTTTTGTCAATTTACTGTGTATTAGAATTGGTTTCAGCCACAAATACCCTCAATGGCATCTACCTGGAGCTAAAACAAAGTATTCTTATAGCCCAAAGTCATGAAATGAAAACAAAGCATCTTTATAACATGGTGTAAAGTAAGTATCCAGCAAACGTGAGAGGTGAACTCACATAAAAGAAGGAATTTGTTAACAAAGACAAAGAACAAATTTTTTAAAAATCTGTTTTCACATTGTATATAATGATATAAAAACAAGTGTCTATTTTTCCTTATCCAGAGTGCTTAAAAACAAAACAAACAAAAAACAAAAAAATTGGCTCTAGATGACTGTGGCAATTAAATAACTAAAATGAGTGATGAGAGCATAAGTTAATTAAGATTGAACACGACCCTCCTATTAATTCACTCCTTTGTATCAAACACCAGAACTGAAATTGTTGGGGCCAAATTCTTTAAAAGAAGACAACTTATGGAAGGAGAAGTGAAATTGTGTGGGTGAATGTGTGTGTGTATATATATATATTCATGCACATATATATGTACATATATATGTGTATATATATATATATATACACACACACACATATATGAGTTGGAGATGGAAATTTGTTTTAAATATCTACCAGCTTATTGGCTGTACTTCCAAATCAGAGCAGAATAAAATAGAAAGGGAGAAATAAAATAAATTATACATAACTTACTAAACTGGGAACAGCTGACCATTATTATTATTACTATTATTATTATTATTTTATCATCATCATCATCATTATTACAACACTAGCAAAAAGAGGCAGTTCAAATGAAAATACAGTCATCAAAAACAAACAGAAAAACAAACAAACGAAATCTCTGACATGCAGAATATGATCAGCTACTCCAAGCAAAACCCCAGAGCAAGTTTTTGAGAGAGAGAAAAATAAAAAGGATTTTCTTCTCATTTATATTTAATAATCAAACTTTAGGGTGGTGTTTGGGGGGTGAGATAGAAAAATGATGACTGGAGTGAAAACCATAGCACATCCAAGCTACTGGTTGGAGTACATACTATCTGAGGCTGCAACACAAATAATGGCAATTAACTTGAAGTGATGTTGCATTTATTTGTACAGGCCCTAAAACTGCCCTGGTATTTGGCTGACAAAATCTACATAAGTAGTCCCATCACCTTCAGTTGTTCTTCGCACACACTCTGCTGGAACCAAAAGTTGACCTTCAGCAGATGCATCTGACAGCAAGGAAGAGCAGTGGCAAGGGTCCCTGGGGTCAGTCAGGCTCCACTTTGTTGGGCTGTAATGACTTTTAATCAAGTCCTACTTTATATGGCATGAAATGTACATGGCCCACACGGTGAAATGCAAAAGACCTCCACCTCATTTCATGGAGGAATGAAAAATACTTTTTATAAAACCATCAGTTCAATTTCCCGACCAGGAAAGGATGGAATGTTGAAGAAATAAGCTAATTCTATTTTTCTGAAAAAATGGCCAAATATACTCAGTGAAAACAATGATTGTTTTGCTTGAAGTATCAACAGGAAAAAAAACAACAACGAAGTAGCAAACGTTAGTGGAACCAATTAACTAGGGAGAAGGGACATCTGGGAGTAGTTTGCTAGTAGCTTCCATGTTATAACATGCACACCTCTTTTACACAGGGCCGCCTGATCCATCCAATAATAATCACATTAGACATTTAAAAATATATTTTCTGAGCCCTATACTTGGTTAAGTTGTCATTTGAAGTGCAAAGTCAAGGTCAAGATTACTTCTAGACCAGTCACTTAGGAGGATGTGGGATTTCATCCCCAGATGTGGGTTTGACTCACAACGGTCCAACGTTATTCCTATTAGTACCATAATCACACACATACATACACACAAAAATCCAAGATCAGAAAATATTTTTTCTCTAAATTTCTTATGTCTCTCTCTCTCTTTTCACCTGAGAACAGCACCTACAGTTTCCATTTAAAAAAAAGTCAAATCTCACCAGCTGCTGGTATTTCAGGTTTTTCAAGGGATTGTCTAAGATATAACACTGTCCTAACTTAAGAAGGAACAGGAAAAAGGGAAGGGGAAAAAAAAGAACTTGGTCAACACTTCAGTACAAATTTGGCACTTGCTCAAAGATGTAGTGTGGTGTGCAATAGATAAAGTCCTCTAAAGAAAATAATTGCTTATTTTGTGATGGATAGCAAGGAAGTTAAAAACAGGCTCTTTTTCCCTCTTCCCCCCCATGCACAGACTTCCATCTTTAAAGTTTAGAGATGGAAAAGGTGGAGAGAAGTAAAGAGAAATTCATCTTTCTTTTTTTTCTGTCAGGTGCATTACAAAAAAAAAAAAAGGAAAGGAAAGAAAAAGAAAAGGAAATAAATCCAGAACCCCCCCAAACAAAACAAAACTTATTTTTTTAAAAAATTGTAGCACAAAACAACAAAACACATTCACAAGCCACTTGTTGGCACTGTGTACCTGAGTGAGAATTTCTAGAACATTGTAGAACAAACAGCCATAAAGTTTATTTAAAAAAAAAAAGTTGACGGGTAAGACTTCAGTGCTTGGATGTAGCAGCTGAATTACTGGCATTATTTTACCCATAGCTTATTTCAATCTCTTGTTGTTGATATTGTTGTTTGCTTGTTATATATCTTTTTCCTTTCCAAGCCTTTTGAGGCTGAGGTCTATTAGTCAGCTGATGTCCCAACTATTTAAGACTAACAGTTAAAGTAACAGTCAGTGTATGAGAAAGTTAATGTGCTTGGCCACTGGTAAGGATGAACCAGTTAGGGCTTCTTTAAGTCCTAAGGTCACAACAATCTTTCAACCCTTATCAGTTGGCTTGTCCTGCAATATGGTTTTCACTGTCACTCCCATAATCTACATCTGGGTCATCCTCTTCCTCATCGTACTCATCATAAATTTCTCCGTTGATGTCCTCAGCCTGTATCTCTTCTTTGATGTGTGGCTCCTCTCCCTTCATACCATAAGTGCTCTGGATAACGGGCATCCCAGGCTCTGGGCTGCTAGACACGCTTGAGTGCTCTGAGGGCAGGTGAGGGGAGGGCATTCCAGCCATGGCAATGGCTCCAGGGTACACAACACCAGCAGTGGCGATGGGGATCTGTGCTTGTTGCCTGTCAAGAGATAAATTTCCAAAAAGAGATAGTGGGTGAGTGAAGAGTAAGATGTAGACCTTACTATATGATGAATTTGCCCAGCAAAGTCCCACTCTAAGGTACTGATTTTTACCCAATTGCCTAACATTTTTCACATGGTATTCTACTTTGAGTCTAATACCTTACTTCTGTCTAGTGCTTCATAAAGTACAAGATATCTACATGCATTGCACATTTGATTCTTAAATAATCCTGTTTTGTTACCAATCTATTTTACTAAAAAAAAAAGGAGGTGCAGAAAGACAAAGGAGAAGAACCCAAGCCCTTAACTCCAAGTTCACTTTTCCTTCACTTACAGTGAAGCAATAGTATTTTTTCCTTAGAATCAAAGCTGCAAATAATTCAATTTTAATGGAAAACCCTAAAGTATTAGAGCTCACAAAATCAAACTTGATTGCTCAGAACTGAATAATATCACATTGTCCACCTAGTGTCTGAAATAGTTTTGGTCTTGTGGTGATAGGAAGAAGGGCCGAGCCTCATGGGTGCACAGCCTGTGCAACTGCACTAAGGTCCTATTTCTGGTTTAATGTTGTGTTGTCACAGTCCTGAAATTCTTAATAAATTTTTTGCTTTTTTTAGAAATTCTTAATAACTTTTTAACAAGAGACCCTGTCTTCTCAGTTTTGCACTTGGCTTTATAAAGTACGTAGGTGGTCTTAGCAGGAAGGGATTAATAGATGATATTCATTCTTACTTATTTTTATTCATTCATATGTTTACTCTTCACTCACAAAATATTTGGCTTTGTGTTCAACTTTCTGAAGAGTCATGTGCTTGACTATAAATCATAGACCCCTGGACAGAGCATGCAGCCAGTTTCAAGGAATTGGAGGGGACAAGAAAGATTTGAAAAGTTTGTGTGCGTGTGTGTGTGTGTGTGTGTGCTAAGTTATCTATCCTCTGGTCATATTCAGAATAGTACTTATTACTCTAAGAAGCTTTTGGGATCTTACTAACTTCTGTTTCACATATGATAAGCAAGTTTATTCCTGTGTTTTTTTGAGCTAATTCTGCAGAAGCAATGCAGTTGCAGGCAGCATATTACAACACTGTCAACAGCCTTGCCACAGGAAGCACTGTAAAACATCCTGAGAGTTATGTTCTTAATTCAAAATAGAACTTCCCCATTCACAATCTTGTGCCCTAAATATAATTCCTACACCTTGTGTGATCTGCAAAGACCACACATATGCCTCGATAGCTCAGTAATCTCTCCATATTCAGAAATAAGTGTTTCTTTCTTTTGAAATCATTTTTACATTGTATGGTCTTAGCTAAGTTGTTAGTTGTAGAATTTTTCATGATGAAGCTTTGGAAGTAATGAAAGTCAGTGAGTAAAAGAACCAGTTACACTTCTGAGTTTTTCTTTCTTTCTTTTTTTAACACTTCTGAGTTTTTAATAACAAACTTCAAAATTATTTACTTGCAGATATTTATTTTTAAACCAGCTGTTAACAAAGCTCATGTTAGAGCTAGGAGCTTGCAGTAGATTCATGTAGATAGGTTTTTCAAGATCATGTGGGAGACCATTCAGTCTCTAAAAATACAAAGTTCAGGTTCTTTTTCAAATGCTGCTTTGCAACAAAACAAATGTGTTTCACATCCCATTAAATATAATAGGAAGCTTTCCCTAAGAAAGAAATGACTGAAAGGCCCCTACCCAACATTGAAGTATTGCCGCATTTCCTGCCGCCTGTTCCGCATGATTGCCTTGTATTCACCGATGCGCAGCTTTTTGCCATCCACGAGGCAGGTGCGCTTTGGCCTGGGCTTATACTTGTAGTCAGGGTACTTCTCCAGGTGCTGTTTGCTGAGACGGGCTTGCTCCTCATAATATGGCTGTTTCTCTAGGTTTGTCATAGCTTTCCAGCGAGATCCTATGAAGAAAAAAGGTTAGGATTCCAATTTGCATAACTTCTAAGTATCCTAAACAGAGATATCACTGAGAACAAGAAAATCTGAAGTAAAGATGTTGGCCACAACCCAGAACTAACATAAACCTGTTTTTTGACTAGGGAGCTTTGACTCCAAAGGTGAGATCCCGCAAGTTCAAAGGTGGGTGGCTCTGTATTCAAAGAAATTATGTTGCCAAAAATATGAACACTGGACAATATTATATATACACATATATACTTTTTCTAGCTTGTATTCACAGTTTAGCCAGACTTTTATGTTATGTAGTTAAAAGCTCATAGATAATTTAATGAGTATATCTTCAATTTCTACAATAGACCACAATGTAATTCCACTGTGAACAGAAAAGTTACATCATCATAGACTAATTATCTAGTTGTTGAAATTCTTTTTCAGAGGGGTAGACTACTTACTACAAAAGTCCCTAACGTGTCAGAAAGTCTCATTCTCCTCAAGACGTTTATGTATGTTAAAGTTTGCAGAAATGATTACAGTTAAAATTTTATTTCATTAAAAATTTAATTATAATTTAAATGATAATATTAACAAACATGGACTGAGTAACTACCATGTGCTAGATACCGTGCTAAAAACTTTACATGTGTTATTTCATTTCTACCTTTCAGTTCAATCCTGTAAAATAAACAGCACTTATATTAGACCTATTTTCATAAATGACAAAATTGAGATTCAAATAGATGAAGTAACTTACCTAAGGTCACACAGCTATTAAATTGTAGATCTGTGACTAAAACTCAGATTTGATAGAATTTAAAGTGTGCTACAATTCTTGCCTTATATGTGTATACCCGCCTACGAGAACATAATCTAGTGGAGTTCAGAATTATAATAAGTGTGTATTGAGTAAAATTTTTTAAAAAAACCAATTTCAATTGTATATAAAGCTGTCACTTCCCATGACACAGTATACATTAATGATGATAACACCAATTTTCCCCCTTCTTCTCACTGTTAATTTTGGGGTAGATCCAATTAGGACCAAGAAAAACAAATTTGAAGCTCAAATAAAAATAGTTTATGCTAATTCTTATTTTAGATTATGGTTTAAAGTTTTGATTCTGTCATTAGACTGTGTAGTAGTAACAAAAGTAGTGGTAATAATATTTATTTTTTTATTAAGACAAACTTAAAAATCTATTTGCAAATGAAGTATGTTTATCTGAAAATAATCAGTTCAACTTGACCTAAATGTACAAAGATCAAAACACTGGAACTAAGAGATCCCTCTCCCAAGTATGTACTGGCCCTGGATCTCTACCTGCTTTCCAAAGTCATGTAAAAAGATCTTTGAGTGAGTCTATTACTCAATCATAACTCTGTATCTTAAATGCAAACAACAGACTGTTGAACAGTTCTTCTCTACCAATGTAGGGGATTCCTCAGTTTGGGTTGTTATATTTTTTAAAGCATGCAGCAAAAGGGGCAATTTCTCTTTCCTTAGAATTGTTTCCTATTGGAACAGATGTTGCATAGGTGGAGTGTATCCATGTAGGTGTTACAAAGATTTACAAATGTAGTTTTTTTTTTCAAATCTAGATAGCCAGTATGAACTTATTCTATTACAACGGAAACTCAGATTACAGTTCAAATAATGGAGCTTCTTTTTCTATACCTTTTTCAAACTTCTATTTAAATAGCATCATCCAACATTAAGATGGTTGGTCTGGCCATATCATTTGTAGGTACAATCTCAAACTCCTCATTTGGTAAACATTATTCTCTAGAGGTACTTGAATATCATTCATGTTGTTCTCAGGGCATAGATAAACACAAATGAAGTTATAATAGCATTGAATGAGATCAATTTTATCATGGAGTTTCTTTTAGCATTTATACCAGCTTTTGATCTTCAGATCAAGGAGTAGAAAGTGAGCTTATCAGAAATAACTTACCAAGCAAATAGGAATACAATGAAAAATAGATAAAAGATTGCTGACCTAATATAAAATTCACTATCACAAAATTCAACAAAGAAATCAGCATTCCCAATTAGAATAGAGATTGCCAAAGATTCTTACCTAAGTTTAAATGCTCTATAAACTACAGAAGTTTTGTTTCTCTAAGGAAAGACTTTATGCTTTGAAGTAATCTGCCTTGGAATGGAGAATTGTTTTTATAGTTCCTACTATGTGCATAATGCTGTATTAATTACTGAGTATGCAGTAATGAATAAGAGAGTTTGTCTCCTTGGAGCTTATAATTGGCCAGGCATAATACATTAAATATCTAATTACAAAATTTATTATTTTCTTTATAATTGTGGAAAGCACAGAAAGGTATGAGAATATATGATAAGGAGATAAGATCAATCTTCTGCAAATCAGGGCTTCACTATAGAAATGACTCCTAAGAGGATCAGAAAGAGAAGAGTATCCTATAGAGGCATAATACAATGGACAAAATCTTTCAGTAAAAAGGAGAATTAGAGGAACTTAAAGAAAGCTGTTCTGGCTAAAATACAGCGGAAATGGGAATGTTTACATATAAAGGAATGGGATAATAAAAGATGTGTAAATTCTCAGATCAACTGACTTCTAAATCTGGCATGAACTGGAATTATGAAATCTTTTAAATTTTTATCATTTCTCTGGGAGTACTACTGAATCCTAAACTATATTTTAAAATTATAAGTCTTTTCAATAAGAATTAAGATAGCTTAAGCACTAACTGAGGCAAAATGACTGACATTTTATAACAGTTCAGAGTAGTGTTTCAATTTGGTGGCAAATTTAGTTTTCATTTTTAAAATAATAACTTTGAATTTGGTTAACTGACAAGTTTGGTGTTGATTTAAATAGCTTTGCAGGTATAATAACTGCTGGATGTAGCTGTGATGCTAACCTCTGAAAAACACTCAATGAGAATAGTAGGAAAGCATTTTAGATATCACCGAAAAAGATAAAAAATATCTATTTGATTTGGGTGTGGCTGGCTGCTTACCCTGGACTCATTCATGTACAGGGCATATGTTTCCTGCTGCTTTCAAAAGGTTGGCCTTTTAGAATGAAAAACAGGACAATTGGATATTACTCCTGATGACAAAAGAGGAAGTTTCAATCAAAAATATTTCATATTCAAAAATAGGTTAGAAAAAAAAAGGGTCTTAAGAGTGTTCTTTTCCTTTCTAAATCTGCCAATACACTAAAAGTGAAGAGTTTCAGCTGAGCAACATTGTCATCTCCATGGGGTCTGTAATGAATTTGCACATTTTACTCCAACTACTGTATATCTAATCAGAAAAAGATGTCCCTCATCCCCTGATCTAGCGCCAAGCAGTAAAAGGTGATTCCTTATGTTAACAATTTCAGCAGAATGGCTTATTAAAACCAGATTTTAGGGTATTATAAAATGCTTAGAAGCCCTTTAAAATGTCAACTAGGATCCCCAGAGACTACGTAAAATGTCAACCCAGCTCAAGCGCCTGTTTTAAGCAGAATGAATTAGCGGCATGCTGTCGGAGGCTGTTATCCAAAACAATCAGCAAAGAGGAAAACATCAAGCTTTCTTTGTACTTCTGTATGAAATGGGCCATTTAGAATGATCTTGTGGATATTTGAAGATCACTTATTTATTTAAAGCTATGACTAAATACTGAGGTTTAAAACACCTCAGTATTTTGTTCCCAAATATAAATGCTATAGCTTTAATTTATTTTTCTCAAAAAGACTGAAATTAGGCAACCTTCTCTTTTTGCCTATTATTAAATAATCACATGGTCATTCTAATATTCTCTTCTTCAAACCAGAAAGAAATTATCTTAGTGAGTCATTTCTTTTCATAAACACTTTAACTACATTTTCTAAAAAATCATTTCATGTCATCAAAACTGGTATTTACCTTATACTTAAGATAAAGTTTTAATCAGTGTTTATCACTTTTTTAGTATTCGGACACATGGATGGAGTGATATGAGACAGTTTAGTATTTAGTTAGTTGTTTTTTTTTTTACCTTTTTGATTTCTAATTTGGGAAAAATTAAAAGCTATAAAAATTAAAAACCATGAAATATGCTTACACAAAGTATTCTTTTACCGAGTCTTTTCAAATGAAACAGGTAGGTTGTTTTTTAAAGATGGGAAATTTCATTTGGAAGGTAGAATATAGTTAAATAAAAGAAAACTAGATCAGAGATGGTAGAGATGCAAAAAAATATGTATTTCTTCTTGATTATTTTGTTTATGCACGATATATTTTTATATACAGATTTTATTTTCTACATATTCAAAAAACTTCACAAACTCAAGTCTTTTTAGATAACAGGCATCTGAATATCTCAAAATCATTTTCAGTGAAAATTGAGTCTTGCTTGTTTTTATCTCAGTACAAGTATACATTGTAGACTGGGAGGCAACTATTAAGTTTGTTAAGAATATGGGATCATAAAAATATGTACATGTTTAGTAACTAATTTTAGACAATCAGTTCCTTAATGCAAAAAGCTAAAGGAATACCACTTCCATAAACTGCATGTAATTCCAAGTGCATTATGAATCTTAAAGCTTTAATAATTTTGACAACTTTTGTTGAAGTCCAAATTTTCTGACAGAGTTATGTGTTTCTATTCTATTTTTATCATTTAGGTTTTAGAAGACAGAGAATGAATCATCAAAATTTGCTTAGGTTGTCCAGTACCTGACCACCTGGCTACTTGAAGATGAAGGTGATGAAGATGAAGATGACAGTGATGACAACGATAACAATAATGATGTCAAGAGAATGGCACAAAAGAAACAGAATCTTTCATTCTTTTCTTCTGGTCTGTAATAGGTCTTTTTGTACTTGGTCTATTGACTTAACATGGTCTATAACAGGTTTCTTTATAAGTGGCCCACCCTTTCTCCCCACCTATCTCTTCTGTGTGCTTCAGTGTCTGTGTACAGAGTAAGTGAATACGTTTTTTCTGTTAAGCTGAAAGCTGCAATGGCAGGAAAAGTCCCCTTTTAATAATACTGAAAATTGTTGCTAAGTATTAGTAAAAGAACCTTTAGTACCTAAGGTTATTAAAGTACAAATTTTAAAATGTACATTCTATATCTTCTTGTATTCTGAGTATCTGATTTTCAATTATAGCACTAGAATAAAAAACATCCCAACCTCCACCCTCATACCCACAACATGAAGAATTCTACAAACAAAGCTCTTTATCCTTATGTTACAATTGATGATGAAAAAGGAAGAAAATCTTAAGTCTAACAATAAGTTATTTATAGTTTACAAGGAAAAGAATAAAAATGGTCAATATCAATATCTAGTGGTTCATGTGAAAGCAACTTTTGTGTCAGTCTTAGTAAAAGTATTTCTAGATTTTACAAGAGAAAACTTTATTGTAGTTAGTATGAAGACACACGTCTAAATTATTTATAGAACTTGAGAAATTAGCACATTTCTCGGTGAACACAGAATGCTTCGTCACTGGATGAAGCCTCAATGATGATGCTTATTTTTTGGATAAGCAGATAGCATGAGCGACCTGGCCTCCAAATCCAGTATCCTTCCACAACTGTAGAAAACAGAATTTTATCCCATCTATCACTTAATTCCAATGCTTTTTTTTTACCCAGTATCTTGCTGATATTGGAGTTGTGCATGTCAGGAAAGGCTTGAAGGATTTTCCTCCGTTCATCTTTAGCCCACACCATGAAGGCATTCATCGGACGCTTTATGTGGGGTTCATTGCTGCCACGTCCTCTGGATTCTCTATAAATTCTTGACTCTGAAACTCCAGCACTTCCTGAAACAGAAAACATGGATTCATGTTAGTGTTAAGACTTTTGGCAACTTTCTTCCTTGCATTACTAATTTTTAGTCTATTAAAGTGTCTGAAAACAAAAAGTACTTCTGATAATGGTACTTCCAGTTCTTAAGACAGATGCTTGTCTTTGAAGTTTCTGTGATAAGCCTTGTGGTGGCAAATGTTGTATTTGTATTTTCAACTCACTTCTAATCTGTTTTCCCTTTCTTTCAATGGACTACGGACTGTTTCATCATTTACTTTCAAAAACTCACAAGATACTTAAATAGATAAATTTTGATGCAATTTGGAAAGAGAAAAGTTAGATTAAATCAACAGGCATGCCAGTACTGTAGAAATATTAAATAGGCAAAGGAGCTCACAAATTATGAAACACCAATCTACTTGGCAGAATGGGTGGAGCATAGGGGAGAATATACCTTGGCTATTTAAAGACTGTCCAAACACACAGTATGCATGCCTTTCTCCTTTTCTCAGAGTTTCACAAATAAAAACTCTGCTAGATGAAATTCTGAAGTTAAAATGAAATATAGATATTTCCTTGTAATATGCTTGGCTTCTCTTTAAAATTATGTGCTAATAAGTACATGATATATGCTGATGCCCCCAGAAAGATATGTAAAATCAGCAGAGAAAAGAACAAATGAATAGTTATACCTATGGCTTCTTAATGATTCTTCAGTCATATGCTTAAGGTTAAAACAAATGAAATATTCTTCTGAACTTTTCCCCCAACATCTGAAAGAGCCGCGGATAGGTACATTTCAATCCATAAGATTCACTGTGATAAACCAACTCAGAGTCACAATGAAATCTTTGGACGCTGTGTCCAGTCCTATAGCCTTATGTGACTTCTTAGAATGGCGCCAGCAGATTAAATGGCTTCCAAAACACTTGAGTTTAGGCAAAGAAAATAAGGAGCTGCAGTGTAACTATGACAGGAGGCTATCGCTGGTTATCAGCACAAAAGATTGAGTGATGTATTTTAGTAGATTCTAAAATCTAAAATACTTTGAGAATCTTAGAGCTTGTATTATCAATGAAAGGACTGTTTTCCTTTTCTTCCTTCCTTTTCTTCTTTTTTCTTTTCTATATGAAGACATAAGCATCACTCAAAATTATCCAAACTTGAAGATCTCTATAGCAGCAAACAAAAAAACACAGCATATCTATTGGTGGAGTTTCTCAATATTTTTATTCGTAATGTGCTTTTGGGTCTTGTGAAAAGTGGAACACATTTCACATACAAGCTTGACTGAACTTAACAAATAACAGTAACAAAAACTTTGATGTTTTAATGCTGATTGCTATGGGCATATTTTATCATGCTAATACAACTTAAAATTTATGAAATGTTTTATTACCAGCAATTGTCTTTTTATTGACAAAAATGGGTGCTAATATATGGCAATATCTTTCTAAAATGGGTTTGCAACTAGCAAATGATCATTTGCACATCTGCCTTTTCTTGTTCTTACACCTTACAGCAACATAAGCAATAAAATGAACATTATGTGACTTCATCAAATCTAAACTAGCTCTTTATATGTACTTTGGCTAGGTTTATCTTAGCTTAGTGAAGTAGAAAACAGAAGAAGATGTTTAGATACATTAGACCAGAAAAAGCAGATTTTTCTTGGATATTCAATTGCATAAAATTTAGTTTTGATAGGATTATGTGGTTATATGTTCCTATTTGGCTATTCCCTTGACTAGTACAGACCTAGACTTAAAAGTAGAACTGGTCCAACACAGAGTAGACAGTCAAATATGTTAGAGGATACAAGGGGACCCTCTCTCCTAAAGTATGTATCTCACTGGTTTGCCCTGGTGCACTTTTTTCTATATGCAAGGAACTTCCTTGCAATAGTAGCAAAGTTGAAGGCTGTGCCACCAAAGGAACTCTAGAAGTGCATTTATGCCACTAGAGAGAGGTTTCCAGTCAGGGTCCTGTATAAGAACAACACTTTTTTCTTTTCCCCTCTTTGCCATGCTATTAAAATTCGAGTATCACTTTAATTAGTCGTTACTGTGAGTGTTTAAAATGTTCAGAGATGATACAGACAACAGAAGTCTTGAGGCACCTGAGGGAAGCCTAAACTGTGCAGCTGGATTCCAGTCAGGTTATAGAGAGTGGGCAGGACACTTGACTGTGTGGTATACAGCATAGGAGGAAAGTGTTCCAAAATGTAGGAAACTCTCCTGAAAATGTCCACCGAACCATATATTTTGGTCAGGACTTGACAGATGAGCTGATAAATAAAAATGTCTGAAAAGTTTGTTTGGGGTACAGAAACAGGGAAGTGAGAGACAGGGTAGATGGTGATGAAGAACGTTTGCTTTAGAATCATGCCTTCCTGAATCTAAGTCCTGCCTCTGGCACTTTGAGCCCTGTGACCTTGGAAAAAATGTTTCAAATGCAGTAGTATGTAGCCCATGGGTTGTGCTAGGAATTAAATGAGATGACTTATGCAAAGCACTCAGTAAGTGCTTGGCACATGGGAACTATGTGACCTCTTATTGTAATGATCAGGTATGAAGTGGCTGTCTATTTTTTTTTAATGAATTAAGAAAAGTTGATTTATTAAAGGGAAGATACATTGTGAAGGACACAATGGGCAGGACAGCATCAAGGGTGTCTGCTGTTTGCCTAGTCTATTCTTTTAGCAGTTTTAATTGGCACTAAATAGACACTTCTGCATATTATTGGAAAATATATGAACAATTTTCACAAACCATCAGAGTCTCCACTCAGATTGAAATCCATCATTGCATGGCTAAATTTTCCTTCTTCATTCTGTTTAACTGCCAGTTGCTGAGTCAGACTCTCCAGTGTTGTTTTTTCCTTTAACAAAAATTAAAATGAGAATCAATCTGTAAATCATAATTATTTGAAGACATTTTTTTCTTAGACCACATATAAAACATTAGCTTCTGGAAAGAATGAGATGTTGATTTATTCACCTTTGCATGTTCAGCACATTATACTAAGGTAATTATAGGAAGGACCAGCAGGATTTTTGAAGACACTCTAATTCTTATAGACTCCTATAAAGTCTTGGCATTTGGATTGGTATGCCTAAAGGATATTTGCCGGGATCCTTAGAGACAACCTTCCCAAATCACAAAATGCGCATAGAAATTTCATGGAAGCAACCTGTTTTACATTTGGAATTTCTGCTTTATTTTTATCCAGACAGTAGAAGTATAGGAGTGGCATAAGGCCCAGAGAAAGTCTTCCAATGGTCAGGTGACCAAATGATAGAAACATAATTCATAGTAGTGCCCTCTGGTTGCCATCTTCTCAAATGCCATCTGCATTCCTCATGCAAGGGTAATGAAGACGTTTAAATATTCATTGCTAATTGCTTGTCAAGTCTCTGTACATCCAATGTGAATGCCTGCTACTTGGACCACAATTTGATTTGGATTGCTAAGCCAAAATATTGAGTTGGCGAATTATTTGAGATACAAATATACCAAAATTAGAAGTGCAGAGACATCAAGTCATTTAAAAGCATGCAGTGCATGATTTGCATTCATGGAGAACATGGCACTGCAAAATAAATTATTTCAAGGAAAATGTTAACGCTCAACCTAAACCCCATGAGATATTATACTACTTCCAAATTAAGAAACTGGGAGGTTTTAGGAACAGAAAAAAGCATACAATGAAAGGTTGATAATTTTCGTTTGAACTCTCCAGCACTGCTCTGAAGATGATGTGGTTCCAAAACAGTTTTAAGAAAAGCATCTATTGGATCTCATAACATTTGCTCAAGTTTCTTTATTAGTTATTCACCTCATTTTTCTGAAGAACACAGTCATGAATTGTACTAGTGAACTACATACACCGCAGACTGCTAGGACACAATGAAATATTTACGGAAAACAATTGACAATTTAAGATAACTGTACTACAGGTAATTGGTCCAACTCATGTTGCTACCAAGAACCAACAGGGTATTGAAATTCTTAATACAGTACATGGTTTATCTCTGCAAAATCTATGGCAATATTACAATTGTACGTATTAGGCTAAATATTCTCTTAAATTAGTGGCCTTGGAACTCCTGTACTTTACTCATCAAAGTCTTTACATTATTTAATAGAAAAACACTTTAAAGTTGTCAGTCAAAATAAAATACAGTAGGGAAACTATAAAACTGTTTATATTAACTTTAGTTCTGTAGAATTATATAGTATTAAAGTTGAAATAAGTTATATATTTAAAATGTAGACTTGAACAATTTGTTTTGTGTGTGAAATTGGTGTTTTCAGTTGCTTTGTATGTTATGGATTTATTTTGCTAAGAGAATCTGCTGTATATATCAGCTGAGTTGGGGAGCATCAAGGCCACTAGCTTAACAGACTTTCTTTACCGGAAATTTAGCTGTTAAAACAAAAGACAGTTGTATTAACAAAAAGAATACACACATATTCCATCAATGTGACCTCGTCCCCAGGTCAGTGAAGACCTTACTGTGCTCTCTTTGGAGTATATACTGGGCCTGGAACACCTCTTAGATTTTGATTTAACAGTATACAGGGCAATAATATTACATACTTTACAGAGAGATTTCTATTCTGAAGCAATGTCTTTCAGGAAGAAAAAACAAATGAATACAAGCATGTTAAAAAAAGAAAAAAGAAAAGAAAAAAAATGTTAAGTGACATACAAGGTTCTGAGTACAGCTCCGTGGCTCTTATACCATCTTACTAAAAGACTAAAGTTAACAAATGATGAGCAGAAAGTCATAATCAGTTTTTACATTAAGTAATCTCTAATCATCAGTCTCTAAAGCACACAGTATTAATAAAATGATTCAGTCAGGTATCTAAAAGTAGAGCTGACTATACTTCTCAACGGGATGTCTGTCAGTGGAAGATACTGGAAACCAACATGATAAGCTGTGCTTTTCTGTAACCATTTGTATAGACCTTTAAGTGTACTTTCAGACATGTGAACAGGAAAAAGGAGAGGCGATTAGAGGAATTGGAGTAGGTAAGATGTGCCTTTAATGAAAACACACTACAATAGCATGTAAGTAAAAATGGTAACATTGTGACATTTTAGAAAAACTAGTGACCAACAAATTTAGAGACATAAAGGAATTGATTGTAAGGAGATAATGACATATGAAAAATAATTACCATTTAATTCCACATAAAACTGATCTAATTGTTGAAGTTTAAATATAGTATTTATGTAAAATGGTAGGTATAATTTTTGCATGTGGATAGGAGTCTAGGTAATATATTGAACCACCAGAAGAATGAGTTGGATTTAAGAATAGTACTCAAAAGTTTAAATTCAATCTATTCAGGCACATAGAAGGAGAAAGAACCAGCTAAACGTTATAACACAGAAATAGGTGGACTAGAAAAATCCCTCCTCCTACTTCACCCCTTTCAACACCACCTGTCCCTAGCTGTTCCTTCCCTGTTCACTTATGCACAATCATGTCTAAAGCTCAATCATTTGAGATTCTGTTCTTTGGGTTAAATATTTCCTTTTCCAGAAGCTTCTTTTCATATGCTCAAATACTACCAGAAAAGGTGATGGCTTGATTCTTGAAATTCATATAATTAAATCAGTCTTTTCAAAGTACCATAGAGGCAGCTGAAACAAAATGAGGGCAGTGGATATCGGGTATGAAGAGAGTTAAATGGGAAGATGCTGCAAATGAGAAAAGCAAAGAAACTTGAGTTTGGGGAAACAAATAAATGTTGAAGGGCACAAACGACAATTTCTGTCAACCTTAGAATCTTAGTTTTAACTGGCTCTGATAAAAATCATGTTAGTCAAGTATTTGTACAGAAAAATAACATCCCATTCTTCCATTTTAAGATCAGTATTCTGGAACACAAATCCAGTGTAGCAGCTGTATTTTACAGTACTCATTACTATTCAAATACTGATCTGAAAATGACAAGATTCAATGGTCTTCTCTCCTTTACCTTCTTTTTATTAGAAAGAAAAAAAAACATATTTAAAGAAATACCTGCCCAAATTCTGAACTGCTCTGAGCAAAAGATTAACTGCGACAGTGTCAAAATGAAAAGGCCCAAGGGTTTTATAAGTAAGGTTCAAACAAGATGACCTGTGTGCTTTCTCTCTTGAATAAAAACTGGTAACTGATGGGCATGGTGGTTCACACCTGTAATCTCCACACTTTGGGAGGCAGAGGTGAATGGATTGCCTGAGCCCACGGGTTTGAGACCAGTCTGGGCAACATGGCAAGACCTCATTTCTACAACAAATAAAAAATTAGCCAGGCATGGTGGTGTGCACCTATGGTTCTGGCTACTTGGAAGGTTGAGGTAGAAGGATTGCCTGAGCCCAGGAGGTTGAGGATGCCATGAGCCGTGATCATGCCACTGCACTCCAGCCTGGGCGATAGAGTGAGACTTCGACTAAAAAAAACCAAAACCAAAACCAAAAAAGTGGCCACTGGATAACAACCAGATTGGCTTTAGGAAGATGATTTTTATCTTGCTAAACAAATCATACACAATTCTGCAGGCATGCGGAGATCAAGGAGAAACTTTAGGCTAAATCTACTTTTTATGTAAAAAAAAAATCGTCTGAGCCTATGCTGACTTGAAAAAAGATGCAAGTGAATTGCATCTCATCTACAGAAAAAAAGAAAGTTGGGGACTACATAGTTTCTTGAACTCAAATGGGTAACTTTAAAATGTAACATTCAAAGAACCATTCTTTTTTTTTTTGAGTTGGAGTCTCACTCCATTGCCCAGGCTGGAGTGCAGTGGCACGCTCACAGTCACCCCTGCACTGACCTGCTGGGCTCAGGCAATCTTTTCGCCTCAGCCTTCCAAGTAGCCAGAACTACAGATGTGCGCTACCATGGCTGGCTACTTTAATGTAGAGACAAGGTCTCACCAAGTTACCTGGGCTGGTCTCGAACCCATGGGCTCAGGAAATCCACTCGCTTCAGCTTTCCAAAGTGCGGGGATTATAGGCTGAGCCACCGAGCCTGGTCCAAAGGACCACTATTAATATTGACTTGGAAAAAATTCGGTAGCTAGACTTGTGCTCTGTGGTTTATCCAATCATTTGTTTGTACATAAGACCAGGCTATGGTAAGACTCAACAAGGAAAGCCAAGAAATATCTAAAGAGATGTGGGCAGTTAGTGATTAGTAGTGGTCAATATAGATCCATACTTCTCAGCCAAAAACCATTCTGATTGGCAAAAGGCTATAGGGATTAATGGGAAAAGGACTGACCTGAGGTTAGAACAGGACATATCTGAGGTTAAGAAATAATGGGTTTTGGTGTCAGAAATATCACATTTTAAACAAACTCTGCCATATAGATTAGCCACATTGTTTTAGATAAATCAATTAACTTCCCTGAGTCCTCCCAGAATCTTAATTTATAAAATTGCAGTAAATACATGATAGGGTTTCATTAGTTTGAAAAATTTAAAATTGATATGCTTTTAATATTATAAAAAATTTCAATGGAAAAATTGAAAAGACAAAGATTCTTTCTAACATATAAAAATTACAGAAATAGTTCAATTTAAGTGTTAAGTAACCTATTATGATTATGATTCTGTATTCTCTATTGTCAGACAAATAAGTGTTTAAAAAGAGAATTTGAGTGTTAACTCTAAATATTGTTAAGCTTTTTTTCCCCTTTTGTCTATCATCCATCAAAATGTATTTAATTTTTTCTCCCCCATTTAATATTCAGGCATGATGAGTTACAGTTCCAGAATGTTAGTTTGTTACCTATTAAATTGAAAAATTTCTCTATTCCATTACTTTAACTCTTACACACACAAAAATGGAAAATCACTGTTTTTTGCAAAGCTTC